CAAGAGAAATTATTTATAGAAATGATTTATTTGTTTTCTTATCACCTGTCTCTCCTAGTAGCGTGTAAACACCTCAGAAGCAGAGATCATATCAGTCTTGCTGCTACTAATTCTACAGACTAAAAGTCTACAAACCGAATGTGTGATATTGGGAAAACAATGAAAATGAAATCCACCAAAAAAATTTGCAGGTCTCATGGAATTCCTGGTTTTATTTCTTCAACAATCAAAGCCTCTGAACAAATCTGCCACGTTCAGATGCAATTTCTGTATTGGTCTGGGTGGACTAATTGCCGTTGCAAATAAAGTTTACAAAAGTAATGTATCTCAAACCCATAATAAATTTAATTTTTTCTTTATCAGTTGGTGTGTCTGAGAAGCCCTTTTTACTGTCATTATTTAGGGAGTCAGGCTGGCCTAAAACGTTTGCCTGTAGTTGGTGATTTCCAAGTTTGGAGCGTTCTCCACTGCAGACAGACTGGTGGGATGTGTGCACTGGAAAAGTTTGTGGGGCAGATGTGAAAATGGTGAACACAATGCATTTCTACTTTTCTGAAATCACGTACGTAGCCACAATCATCTCTAAGAAAGGCTTGGAAATGTCTCAATATGCACTAGAAAAGAAGTGGAGAATATTGAATTTATGACATAGAAGTTGGAGGGAATTGGTCATTTTTCAATCAAAATAGTCAATTGTAAACAAAAGAAGCTCCTGCTTTTGGAAACATAATATAGCTTATGTTTTTTCACATTGGTAACTTGTACATGCCCTTATGTTGATTTTGACTATAATTTTTCTCTTCTATTTCTTTGTATATTCTAAGGGGTTCCAGTTCAAATAATATGTCCCTACCCACATAATACTGTAGTTGGTTACCCACTGTAATATTTGTATCTTCCTCATTTATATTCTCAGTATGAATTGCTTATAAATTTTGATTTAGCTACTATAATGTTACATAATTATTTATGGTTATTACTTCTAGGACTTAGCTGAATTCCTTGAACTATGTATAATTTTATTAAATTATTTTATCAACAATACTTCTTATGTAGCATGATCTCATTGTATTATTGATAAATAATGATGAGTTACATACATTTAAAAGCAATTCTTATTCAAAACCCAAGGTAATTTTACTCCAATATTATGGATTGGGGAGGTGAAAGTAAAAATTTGTGAAAAATATTCTCTCATATTTACAAAATTGGCTTCATCTTCTTAGCCTTTGCCGTGGAGGGAAATTATAGCTAGTGTTAAAGGTAAATGGATATTGTTAATATGTATTCAGGGAAATTAGGTAGTAGCTGACTGCAAGTATCAAGAAAGGCTCATTAAAACTCTACAGCTTTTAAAAGAACTGTTAATTCAGCACTAGAATGACAGTGTAAATAGAATGATCAATTCTGTCATAAAGATCTCTGAAAGCATACTACATAAAATGATTTTGGTTATGGTTTCTGAAATTATAATGAAACATCTAGAAAGCATCATAAATTAATGTCAATCTGCAAATGAATGACTCTAAAAGCTGCGTGAAAAATTACATTGGAAATGCCGTCATTGAAGTGTCAATGGAATGAAGATTTCCTTTCTGGTTGAGGCAGCAGCAGAAGTCATATACTAGGAATTCTAGGGTAAGAATCACTGGCAAACTGCATCCAATGACTCAACATTCAGAAGGTCTCCAGCTGATTTCATCCTCTCTAAAATAACTCGACACTGGGAAACACTATTTGATTGACTGAAAATATGGCTGGTTCCTCACCCATATGCCACTGGTAAACTAGCAAAGCTTGATACTCTTCTCTTTGTGCACTGATTAATCACTTAACCAACTGGTTTGCCGCTTGTCTAAGCACTTAACCATTGCCTGAGGTGGTCAACTTCACCCCCTTCTTTTTTCATGTGACTGAAGTAGAGAACTAGCAGAGTGGTTCCCGTTTGAGTCCTGGCTGCTGCACTTCCAATCCAGCTCCCTACTGATGTGCCTGGAAAAAGAGAGGAGGACAGCCCAGGTGCTTGGACCCCTGCACCCATGTGAGAGATCTGGAAGAAATTCCTGGCTCCTGGTTTCAGACTGGCCCAGCTCTTGCTCTTGCAGTTATTTGTGGATTAAACTAGCAGATGGAAAAATCTCTCTCTCTCTTGCTCACTCTTTTTCTCTCTCTCCCCACTCCATCTTTTTGTAACTGTGCCTTTCAAAAAAAAATAAATGTCTTCAAAAAAGAAGAAGTTAAGTGTATTTTAGTTTAAATTATATTGCTGTTGCAAATAATTCACAGATCCAAAACTCATACAGCTTAGTCATCAAAGTCTTCTGCTGATGGTATCGAGAGAATGGAAAAGTAATCCAGTTATGGTGTATGGGATTAGAGCCCTTGGGAGTGATTATATTAGATTGGAGAAATAGGGTGGAGCCCTCATAATTGAATTCTGGTAACTTTATCAGGGTAGAGACAAACACATAGACTTGCATGCTCCATGTCTGTCACCCTTCAATGCTCAGTGTTTCTAGGGACTACTTCAGTAAGAACAACAGCATGGGAAGGCGCATCTATGGGGTCCACCAAATTTGGGACTCTGAATTTTCAGAGCTATGAGGCAGAATAAACCTCTTTCATCTCTAAAGTTAGACTGCCTGGGACATTTCATTATAATTATAAGCTAACACACTGAGCAAGTTCTTATTTCTAAACAGATTTAGAAATCAATATACCAAAAAGAATTAAGCACTCACAACTTCTATATTGTATATGAGTAATGATGGGGTTCTATGACACAGAGCTTTATTTCTAAGAACATTATCATAGTGAAAACTAATTCATTGACTATGGTGGCTGCATTTTCTTTATCGGAATGGTATTTTGAGATCAAGTTCTATTCCTTGAATTTTCTCATAATTCTTCTTATGAAGAATCATAAGACTTTTTTTTTCCTATTCTGTGACAAAAAAGTTAGGGGAAAAAGACAAGTATTGCCATTTTCTTAGTATTGTATTTTCTTCAATTCCCCCATAAAAAGTGATTTACAGGAGGAGTTCAAGATTTCTTTCACTACTGATGAAATAATACTGAAAATGAGTAACAAATATCCAGAATACAATGGACAGTGATAACAGCCAATTAGACACAGTAGGTGAGAGAATGAGTGAATTGGAAGATAGTTATCTAACTTCAGTTAGATACAAATATCTGCATATCTATGGGATTATATTTTTTTCTAAAATGGGCTTGTTGCATGAATAAGATGCTGTAAGATGGGCTAATTTCTAGAGCTGGTTAGTGATTTGCCAATTTAGGCTGGAATGGACTGAAATAACTGGACTCCATAGGTTTCTCATTCTTTTTCTGGTGTTAGTACAATAACCCAGGCATATCCTCCAGAAGAGCAAGATTGGGCAAACTCCAAGGGCAGAATCCAAGGTAGAAGTCATTGGCTATGTTGTGTAAAGTGCATTTTCTGTTCATCAAGTCACCTGATTGAGTTCAGAACCAATGGAAAGATAGATACTGCAAACTTTATCAAAGGAAATATTTACGTACCCAGGAATACTCATGAAAGAAACAACTATTTTAATTAAATAAATTTTTATTTAAATATTATATGGACTGAAGAGTAAGGTTTTCAAAGGCCTGAGCATGAGAGATAACTTTGTTAAATTGTTATAACGAGGTTAAAATCCTGAATGGGAACAAAGCGTTATTTAACCCAATGACCCCTCTGAAACTCATTTTTGATTTTTCAGAATTATAGAACAATAATCCTTTTCTTTTCTTTTTCTTTTTTTTTTTTTTTTGACAGGCGGAGTGGATAGTGAGAGAGAGAGACAGAGAGAAAGGTCTTCCTTTTGCCGTTGGTTTACCCTCCAATGGACGCCACGGCTGGCGCGCTGCAGCCGGCACACCGCGCTGATCTCCTGGTCTCCCATGGGGTGCAGGGCCCAAGCACTTGGGCCATCCTCCACTGCACTCCCTGGCTACAGCAGAGAGCTGGCCTGGAAGAGGGGCAACCGGGACAGAATCTTGTGCCCCGACCGGGACTAGAACCTGGTGTGCCGGTGCCGCTAGGTGGAGGATTAGCCTATTGAGCTGCGGCGCCGGCCAATAATAATCCTTTTCATCAGTGACAGCTGTTTCTGTGTGTACGTGCAAGTGTGCCTGTGCTTTTTTCAGCTTGTAATCAATGAAGTTATACATAAATATTAGTTATCAGTAACCAGGCTTTAACGATATTGGATTTCCTAATAAAGCCTTGGATGCTTTTGTTAGTCATCAATCACTTCCTTTCTGCTTACTTATGGAATTAAAATAAAACATACAGATAAACAAAAAAACCACAGTAGTGATGACCTTAGTTATGACCAAGCTCTAGCTAACTACCTGGACCTTCGGTGGGCTGTTAAATTTCACTAACAAGACCAGCGCCACAGCTCAATAGGCTAATCCTCCACCTGCGGCGCTGGCACCCAGGGTTCTAGTCTCGGTCAGGGCGCCGGATTCTGTCCTGGTTGCTCCTCTTCCAGGCAAGCTCTCTGCTGTGGCCTGGGAGTGCAGTGGAGGATGGTCCAATTCCTTGGGCCCTGCACCCCATGGGAGACCAGGAGAAGCACCTGGCTCCTGGCTTCGGATCAGCGCGGTGCGCTGGCTTCGGTGCGCTGGCCACAGCGGCCATTGTGGGGTGAACCAACGGCAAAGGAAGACTTTTTTCTCTGTCTCTCTCTCTCTCTCACCGCACACTCTGCCTGTCAAAAAAAAAAATTCACTAACAATTAAATTTGCTGGACACAAATTATGGGGAAGTTAAACAAGGAAAAGCTTGCAAAACCCTGAAAGAGAATATGTCTTTATTTGCATGCTAGCAAATGAGACTTTAGCTTTTACTTCAATATCAGTGATGAAATATCTCAGCCTGTTTCCAAAGCATATTGTATATGAATACGAATTAATTTGAGCTGTTTTGGGAAGAACCATGTTACCCAGAAATACAGCATAGAACTCACCGATTAGCACACTCTAGTGCTTTCCAACTTGATATGGTCGTAGAATTTTTAAGGGTCAAGAAAATCACTGAAAATTCAGAAATCAGGTATGATGGAGAGTTTAAGGTCACGGTACTGAAAGAGTCACCACCAATGATATTAAGCATGCACTTTTTTTTCTTTATTCCAGACATGACAAGTTTGTCATCGAGCATCCTTTCCATCCTAGTAATGGCAGAATTTGTTGTTGGAAATTTTGCCAATGTCTTCATAGCTCTGGTGAACTGCATTAACTGGGCCAAGACTCAAAAGATCTCCACTGTTGATGGGATTCTTACTGCTCTGGCTGTCTCCAGAATTGGTATGCTCTGGATGATCCTATTAAACTGGTATTCAACTGTATTTAATCCAGCCTTACATTCATCAGAGCTGAGAATTATAGTCAGTAATACTTGGACAGTAACCAACCACTTTAGCATTTGGCTTGCTGCTAGCCTCAGCGTATTTTATTTGCTAAAGATAGCCAATTTCTCCAACCTTACTTTTCTTTACCTGAAGAAGAGGATTAAGAGTGTCGTCATGGAGATAACGCTGGTGAATTTTGTCTTTTTGGTTTGTCATCTTGCTGTGCTAAACATAGGCCAGATTTTTCAGAGAGAAGAATTAGAAGGAAATGCAACTTGGAAGATTAAGTCGAGGGGCATTGTCCAGCTTTCAAGTATGACTGTATTCACACTTGTAAATCTCATACCCTTTACTATGTCACTGATATGCCTCCTGCTGTTAATCTGTTCCTTATGTAAACACCTCAGGAATATGCAGCTCCACAGCCGAGGATCTCAGGACTCCAGCACCCAGGTCCATGTAAAAGCTGTGCAAACTGTGCTCTCCTTCCTCTTGCTGTCTGCCATGTACTTCCTTGCTCTAATCGTATCATATTGGAGTTCTGGTAAATCACTGAGTAAACTCAGCCACATGTTTTGTCAGTCCATTGGGATCATCTATCCTGCAAACCATTCCTTTGTCCTGATTTGGGGGAACAAGAAGCTAAAGCAGAACTTTCATTCACTTTTATGGCAGGTGAGGTGCTGGGTGAGAGGACAGATATCCTGAATGTTTTAGATTAATGAGAGAGATGCTGTTTATCTCCTAGCAGAAAGCAAATTGATAGAGTCTGTTCCATTTTACACTCTTTGGGTTTCCCACAGTATATGCATCTGAGTAATGTCTGATGACATAGCTACAAAAGCCTTTAATCTAAGTTTATTACTTAAAATATGTATGTCTATACAGAATGATTAGATATTAGAAACATCTATCACGACATACAAATCATGTAATTACGCAAAATATGACAAGAAATTCCCTAATACTACAATCGTATTTTTAATGTACCTTCTCTAGATTATTTTCTAACCAAATACTTTATTTTATATATTTATTATTTCGAACTGTCAGTGTATCTCAGGAAATCATTGCAATTTTTCCATTGTAATTTCTACTGCTTATGTGTGTTAAGATTTCATTGTTTGAACATATGATGCTTTAGAGAATAAGGACATTACATTATCAATCAATAATTATATAGTTTAGAGACAAGTTTTATTCAGCCTTGCATTTTTATTTCATGTTTAGTAGGAAATAGACACAGTTGTTGTTAGAAAAATATAGATGCAGCCGGCGCCGCGGCTCACTAGGCTAATCCTCCACCTTGCGGCACCGGCACACCGGGTTCTAGTCCCGGTCGGGGCACAAGATTCTGTCCCGGTTGCCCCTCTTCCAGGCCAGCTCTCTGCTGTAGCCAGGGAGTGCAGTGGAGGATGGCCCAAGTGCTTGGGCCCTGCACCCCATGGGAGACCAGGATAAGTACTTGGCTCCTGCCATTGGATCAGCGCGGTGCGCTGGCCGCAGCGCGCCGGCCGCGGCGGCCATTGGAGGGTGAACCAACGGCAAAGGAAGACCTTTCTCTCTGTCTCTCTCTCTCACTGTCCACTCTGCCTGTCAAAAAAAAAAAAACAAAACAAAACAAAATATATATATAGATGCAATGAAATTCAGGAGTAACAAATATATCTAGGATAAATTTTCTATTTGTGTACCATACCAGCACAGAGGAATATTATGTTTTATTATATATAATATAAATTTACTATTTGAAAGGCGGATTTTATATATATGTGTGTGTGTGTGTATATATGTGTGTGTATATATATATACATATATATATATATATATAGAGAGAGAGAGAGAGAGAGAGAGAGGAGAGAGAAAGACAGAGGGAATTTCAACATCTGGTTCACTTCCCAAAAGCGAGAAACAGTCAGGGATAGGCCAAGCTATGCTGAAGTCAGGAACCAGGATCTCCATTTGGGTTTCTCAGGCAGGTTACAGGAACTCAAGTACTTGGGCCATGATCTGCTGCTTAATGAGTACATTAGCAGGAAACTGAATGGGAAGTGCTTTGCACTCTGGACTTGAACCGGACATGGTATGTGGGCATCCCAAGTAGTGGCTTATCTAGCTGTGCCACACTGCCCATCTCAGATGATTAGATTTAATACAAATGTGTGAGTAGCGCTGGAAAATATCACTTCTAAAATATAGATTAAGAAAGTGAAATAGGAACATCACTTGTTTTAAATACTATTAACATTTTCATATGTAGCTAGGAGCCTTTTTTTTTTTTAGCATTTAAAGGCAGGAAGACCAATTTTAAAGTGGAGATTTGATTTCAAATGTTTCAGTTTTCTCCTAAGCCACCTCCCAGTCCCTGAATTACCAATCATTCCCCTCCTCTATTTTTAAACCTCAGCTAAGAGAATCAAAAACTTCCTCAACTAAAAATAATTTCTTACTTTAAAAATGGAATAGAAATTATGAGACACCATCCAAAGGACCCTTAATGCAAAGATTGGAAGGACAGGTGTAAAATCTGTACTTTCATCACTGCAAATGTGACAAAGACCTATTTTCCTATAATCTTGATGAAAGTATTTAATGATAGATATGTAATTAATTATGTAATTGGTTTGTGATAGATTGTGTATAATTGATATGTAATAGATTATGTAATTGATAGCATGTTCTAAGAATATATAACTGTGTTCAGAGAATAAATTCTACATGATTTTAGTGATTCTTGCTGTAAACGAATCTTAATAATATTGAATAAATTTTCAAATAAATAATTTATATGTGTGATATATTTGTTTGCTGTCTATTTTCATATCCAGAATATATAAGCACCATAATAGCAGAAATCAAATCTGTCTTTGCTTTTGATTGCTCGGACAGAAAATCCAAAATTTTTCAAAAATGATAAGCTCAAGTACAAATGAATCACAGAAGGCCAGTAAACCAATGAAAATTAAACCTGCCAGAAATCTCTGGATAGCATGAATTTCTCAACTCTGGTTTCATTTTTCAAGTCCTAGGCTTAACCAAAAGAAGCTCTTCTCTTAGCAAGATCCTGCATTGTCCAAAATTCCAGGGAAAATATCATTAAATTATACTCTCGAGGCAGCTGTATTATGTGTGTTTAGTGGAGACCAGGTGGAACATAAAAATTAGCTGCTGCCTATTATAATAGTTTTTAAAAGCATATAAAAGATTTTGGAAATTTTGCACATTCTTATGTGAATTATATACTTTCATTATGATATTTTCTTGCTATTTTGTACACAAAATAGCAAAATATCGCAAAGAACTTAGCAACCAACCGGTTTCCTGAATTTTTCTTTTATTGTCAATATTTTTTCTGTATCCTTTCTAATTAAATTTTAATTGCCATATGGCAAACATCCTTAGAATTGAAAAAAAGTGGGCAATCTGATTAATAGCTTAGCTGATGTCAGGGATTAAACTAATGACATTTCTTTTGGAAGCAAGTGCAGGACAGAAATGGAGAGAAGCTGTGGCAGCTGAGCTATGAGAATGAGAAGCAATGTGATGCGACATAGGATTCTATTGGAACCATTTCATCATGAGCTGGGAGACAGCATGGTGGTCAGCACAGGAGTGAGCCTGGCTCCCAGGACTGTTAAAGGTGGGGTCCCAGGGAATCATGTCTACCATTAGTCCATGGAAGAGAGAGACGATTTATCTTCTCACCTCTCTTCTGTCTTTTATTGCCCTTAGGCCAACTTTTTCCCAAAGCAGAACTTGTACTGGAGTCATGAATACAAATCATTTAAATTTAAGAATTCCTTATAATAGCCAATAATATTAATTTTATGTGTATCCATTTTTGATATTTTTTAAAAATAAAATCCTTATTATATATGTGTGTATGTATGCATGTCAGTTATAATTACTAAAAATGTAACTTTATAATTTCATATGTGTAAGTATCTAAAGTAGAATATGTACATAATATTTTGGATTAGAAATGTAGACTAATTTGTAAACTATTAGAAAATACACGTACTAGGTTCTGTTTCCAAGGATGAGGACCCATTTACAAAGGTTTTTAGAAACTCCTTCAATCATGGGGATGCTTTATTCAAATTATCTCATGTTCATTAATAGTTTTATTAGTCTCATAAAATCTTGGAGAATTTTCATTGTTATTAAGAATATATCATTTGCATTTGCAAATGCATTGTATTTCCTAATGCAGTTTCTAAATATTTGAATTTTAGTGCACTAGACTACCAAATCATAGCTATGTTAGTTTTTAGATTGTATATCACTGAGAGATTATTGTCCATGCTATATTTTATTACATCCAGTAGTTCTATATTACTAGTGGTTGTAAAACAGCCAGCTTATCATAGGAAAGGAAAATTGGAGAACTTATGAATGCCCAAGGCATAACTCACAAGAACTATTATTGTGCATATATACTATAAATGTTAGTTGTATGATAGAAATGGAAGCTATTTTAATAAAGATGAAAAAATTTAAGTAAATTAAATTCATGATGTGAAAAAATGGTGGGGGAAGATAATCATCAGCCCTGTATTCAATTTTATTAAACACTCAATATAATATAATTCTTTATAATTTTGGAAATGAGAAGATCTTTGCTCAGTGCCTGTTTTCACAAAGAAATCCCTTCCAATTGAAGTCTTTGTGTTTGGACTACATTTTCTACTTTTCCCAATGTAGTCCATTCTCAGATTTTTCACTGAACAAACCTATGCTGAACATCTTCTCTCTATGGTTCTTTTGGAGCCAGTTTAATCAGAAACATAAACTATTAAGTAGGAAATGGGCATGTGTCAGAGTTTGCCACTAAAGAGGGGACGGGCTAATGCTTTATGCTAGCTAATCTATTTCACAGTTTTCCAACACTCGGATGTTAGTTACACCATGTTCCTGTGGAAGACCCTGGTGTTCTGAGAAGTTTAAAGATGTGTCCAACAATTCATGAAGACGCATGTGCAAAGCTGGAGAAATGACCCCAACAGAGTGCGCTCTCCCCCAAGGTCCTCATGAGTTTACCCATGACCAGATATGGAACCAGTGAAGTAAAAAGTTAAAATAGTAATATAATTTTGGTGCTTATATTAAATATTCTTAAATTTCCTATGGTATTTAATACCATATAGAAGTGTATATTCACAATTAACAATAATTTTTTGCTGGTTAGAAGCAGCTGCCTTGTTAAACTGCCACATATGCTTTGTGCCTTAATTTTGCAGATAAAGAGTTACGAAGGCTTGAGGTCACTGTCAGATAAATAAATTCTGTCTACCAATGTAAGTGTTTTTTTTGTATGTTCTATGTCTAAGGTTCGCAGATTTCCCTATCTGTCACATATGCTTTGTGAGCCCAAATTAGGTAGCAATTACGGAAGTCAAAAATTGTAAAGCAGCAAAGAGAATATGTCTACATTTGCATACTTCCAAATGAGAATTCAGCTTTCCCTCCAACATCAGGAATCCAACCAAGAAATAGGATGTCTTTTCAGTTGTTTTTAGAATATCAATATTTTAAGCAAAAACAGCATTGAAATAACGAATTAGTATCACTGGGTGCTTAACACTACCCACAAAATCTAAAAGTAAATAAGAACTTTACTGCACATCCTAAAACCATCTGCTAGTACAACTTTTGGTCAGGATACTAAGGAATATCACCCAATAATATTCAGCTTGGCTTTTTCCTCTTGAGTTTGCTGCTGAGCATAATTTCTGTCCTAGTAATTGCAGAGTTTGCTTTTAGAAGCTTTGCCAGGGTTCTTACCAACAACATTCAGTAGCTAGCTTGCTTCTAACCTCAGCATATTTTCTTTGCTCAAACTAGACAATTTCTCCAGAAGGGTGAGTGGATATGAGGGAAATTGGACTTGGAAAACCAAACTGACAGACATTGTATGCCTTTGAAATGTGGTTGTTCCCTCTACAGTAAACCTCATGCACTTTACTAAATTGCTGATATGTTATCTCCTGTTAATCTATTCCCTG